GAGTGTTTTACACCCCCACACCAATTTGAGTAGCCAAGTATATCTTTTCATATATATATATATATATATATATATATATATATATATTTGTTGTCAAATTATTATATATATATATATATAGTTGTCAAATTTATTTCTTAAAAAGAAAGACCGAGATTATTGGAAAGTACATTTATATCCTTTTCTTGGGTAGCTGATAAAGAATAAATGGGGGTGGTCAAGTTTTTTGCTTTCCTGGAGAGCAACTAGAACAGACCTTGTTGCTCTTAAAATTAACTGCCCCTACTCTGTGGGTAGATTAAGTTCAATGCTTCTACTGCAAAATTATGGAAGGTGGCAAGGGACAAACTTATTAAACTTATTAAAATTTTAAATATTGGACACAAAATGGTTCCCAAGTGGGCCTCTGGAAAGATAGTCCATAGTGGCAAATTCTGTGACTTCTGTTAGTCTGTCCATCACACCCTCTAAAATAGCCATACATTGACTGATTGAAACCAAATTTCGGGGAGAAGTGCAATCAGGTTAGTGGGTACAAAGTACAGTATTAATTCTTTTTTTTTTTTTTTCTTTTTCTTTTTAAATGTACCTTTATGTAAGCAGCTTAAACTAGCTGAAATCAGTTGTTTTTATGCTAAAAAAAACAACTCTATTTTGACTACTTTTTAGATGTTTTTGTAATGTTGCAAACACACACACATATATATATATATATATATATATATATATATATGTGTGTATAAAAACAAGAATCTAGTTTCCAGTTCACCCTGGTTTAAAATATATTTAGTTGACAACATAAAATTGTTCAAAATATTTAAATTTCAGCATTAAATAACCCATAGAAGTAGATATGCCACAAAATGAAATCAAACGACCAACATAAATTAACTCTTTCATGACAATAATCCATATAATATACTACAATTTCCTAAAGAAATCAAACTGTATTCCAAAATATAACTTCAACAAAACTACAACATAAAACACGCATATCACTGCCTCTAGTAATTATATCTGCACAAACCATAACCCTAATCTAGCTGGGTGTCATCTATCATGTATTCAGTTGTGAAAGCAGAATAACATTTTTATTATTTCAAAGCTCCTAAGAAAATCAAATTTTGTCATTAAATGAACCATGAGTTGATATGCCATTAAACAATAGTCTGTGTCGATGCTCCTGGGTTAACATTTGCACTGATCTTTGCTGTGACCATTGCTATTCTTGCCATGTGTTGATCTTGGTGACTGTCTGTCCTATATGGCCATTGGGAACCTGGCCTGTATGTATAGGAATGTTCATTTCACCACTGTTGTCAGCATTGAAGCTCTATTGATGCCTTGCATCCCAACCTGTGTAAACAGTTCTCCAAAATGACCATCCAGTGTTTTTACAGCCCATAATTTGCTCTCTCCAAATCTGCTCTAATTGAACAGAAGTTGCATCTTCATGACAGAACACCAGCTTACACTGGACTCTTTCACCATTCTTCTTCTATGTGCTGTGTCCCTTCAGGACATAGGCAATCATGGCTCTCCACAACTTCCTATCTTGTGTGGTTCTTAGCAGTTTTTCTCCCTGTTCTGCTATCCATTCTCACAAGCATGTTAGGTAAATGGCTTGTTGCCTTCCCCTATCTCTCTTGCTCTCAATACGCCTTGTGAAGAACAAGTTTTCCAAGCTTTTCCTTCTCATGTGTACAAGGAATTTCATTTGCCTTTTCCTGAAGTGTTCTTTTTGTTACTGACATGATGCACCTACAGCGTGCTAATGGCTTTCTTGTTGCTTACTATGTCCATGGAATTTTCAATATCCTTCTGCAGAACCACATTCCCTCTGCCTCTAGTTTTTTTATTTTTTATTTTTCTCATCCATAGAGAGATTGTCCACCATTCACTGACGTATGGAGATGGATATCACATAGCAACCCAGCACTCCTTTCTTTTTTTTTTTTTTTTTTTTTTATAAATTTTTCTGTTTCACAGCATCTTGCTTAGTTTTTGCTTAGTTCAGATCTCGGTATTGCATTAATCCTCCCCACTGTTTTGGGGAGAAAATACATCCTTGTCTCTGCTTCTTTCTTTGTATTGTTACTGATTTCATTTTCTATCCGTATGCGTCCAGTCTGGTTTACCTAGCAGTTCAAATAGATCCTTGTACCATACATTGTCAAATGTTTAATTTATAAAACCTAAGTGCATATCCTTTCACACTTGTATTGTTCTCTCTGATATCATTCTAATCATGAATATTGCATTTCTTGTTTAGGTTTTCCTTGACAAAGCCACACTATTCTTGTCCTATTTCTGGTCTAATTCTGCTTTGCACTCTAGTCATCAGGATTTGCATCACTAGTTTGGTTCTGTGGCTCATTAAACTTATTTTCCTTTAGAGCTTGCATTCATTTACACTTGGCTTCTTAGATAATGTTATGAAGATGGATATAGTCAGGTTTTCCAGTATTTCTCTGCTGTTGTATATTTTGTTTATTACTTCTGAGATCTTGTCGATGCTGAAATCCTTTAAGGCTGAGTGCATTTCTGTTAAGATCCCATCAGGCTCTGCTGCTTTGTCCCTGTTCATCTCCATTTTTCTGATCTTACATCATCTTTTACTATTTCTGACTGTTCTGTATTTTCCAGTATAGGTTTCTCTTTTGCATTGTGATAAAGTTTTTTTTTTTTTGTTTTGTTTTTTTTACATATTTGCTCTACCTTTGGAGTATTTCCTTTTTTTTTTATTATCAGTGATCTTTCCTTTTGAGTTTTATCGAGCCTGTTGATTGGCACACCTTTCGTCCTGTTAATTCTTTTCTGTTGTGCACACTCTTGCTGTATTAGTGCTGCTCGTTGTCTCTATTTTGGTGCACTTTTCATTGATCCATTCACCATACTGAACCTCATTTCAGAATAACGTTATGTACAGCTCGATACAGACTGTGTACGAGTCTTAAGACATGACATGATAGCCAGAGACTTTGAAAGTTTTATTAGAATATCTACTATCCCCCATCCCAGCATACACATCCAGGTTGTTGCAATTTGTTTTCTCTTAGTTCATAAGTTGTCTCCTCCTCCTCCTTTGTAATATCAACCATACTAAGAAGAGTATCATTTTAATGCTGAGAGTGGAAATTAATAACTGAGTTTTCTATAAATCTTACCAAATATATAAACAGTGTTTGCATGTGTATTTTCTAGATATATCTGAATTGGATTTGGGGTGACCACTTTGTTTTTAAAGGGTAAGAACTATTTACCAGAAAGTGATAACTTCTGCCTATCAGTCTATAATTTGATGTTGAATAGAATATTGCCTGGTGCTAGAAAATGTCTGTCATAATATTAATATTTAATATATGGGAAATTATTTTCTTTTGTTCTTTGTCACTGGTTCATGCTTAAGTTACAAAGACCATTTTAAAAGACACTCATTATCTTTTTAGTTATTGAAATTTCTTTAGCTGAGTATAACTTTTTTTCAATGTCAGAACATGACAAAAATAATTTTAAAGAAGGAATTATTAAAATAAACACTTCAGTTGCTGTTCTCTGAATTACAGAAATGTAATGATAGTTTTGTAAAAGTGTGAACAGCATTAAAAATTTCAGATATCCTGGGTAAAAAGTAAATTAGAATTAGTTTTTCAAAAAGAAAATTCTATCACACTATTATATATATATATATATATATATATATATATATATATATATATATACACGCACACACAGCTTCGTAATATAATAATTACTAATAATTGTATAAGTCAAAAGTCCGTGTTTCATTATTAAATGATTTAATATAAACTTACGTCCAACTTACAGTTGGAGACATAGAGACAAGTGAATATTTCGAGTTGTTATTAACAGAGCAAGGGAGGTAATTACCAATTACTTTTCTAACTGAGGCTTAGCGGAGAATTTGGAATGCTAATATTCCGCTCCAGTTAAAGTTGTTTACAGTTTTTTCCCCTTTTCTTCAAGCTGCTTTCGGTTGCCGCTTTGAGTTTTTTTTTTTTTTTTCTTTCCGTTTATAAAAATGTTTGGCATTTCCTGTATAAAGGACTTTTACAACCTTTCTAACCTATTCTCTATTTACAGTAGGAGAAAATTCAAGAATTCTAAAAAAAAAAAAAAAAAACAACAAAAAACAGGGTAATCTGTTTATCTCCCTTTCTCTTCCACTTGTGTTTTTTTTTTTTTCATTTAGGGCGTGGAGAAATTGTGTTGATGGGTTTATTAATTTCTTTGTACGTGTTTTTTAAAGGCTTATATGAATATAAATTTAAGAATTGTTAGATGTCATTGGTTTTTATAGTTTAAATATTTTCAGCTTACAATTCAGATTTAATAATATAGTGTTTACTTGGCTATCAATTCTTATGATCAAATAAATTGTTAGAAATCTTAATTGAATCTGAAATTGTTTTTAACTAAAAGTGTATTATTTTGTTTTATTTGTCTTTTCATTTTTTTCTTTTGATGATTACAAAATGTTTGTTCTGAGTTGTTTTTCTTTTTGAAAATAAACTGAAGAATTCTTCAGTTGAACAGACATTCACTTTCTGTGAATTAACTTGTTACTTGAATGAACACAGAGCAAAGTTCACTATTTGCACAATTCTTAAATATCAACCCTATGGAGAATACCCTCTACATACCTTTTCAAACTCTTCCCTGGTTATCCTTAATTTTTTTCTTCAACTTGACCCTACCTGATTACTTCCCCTTGTCTTACAAGATTTTTTTTTTCTTTTTTTTCTTTTTTTATGTCAAAGGCCTTGAGTCCTCCACCTATTCTTTCCTGTCACTTAGTCTAAAGTTCTTCTACTGATCTCAGTCTAAACACTTAATATCTTAGTACCACTAAGAAAAGTAAGACGGTACGAGTAATTGTTAGTGTTGAACCTTATTCTGCCACTTGACAACGGAAACAGTCATCATCATCAGCATCATTGTGTTTGACTAATGTTTTCTTTTTCTTTTCTTGCTTCTAG